CAGACCGAATATTGACCGCAAAGAAGTTTATCCTGCTATCGTTTCTGCATCTGGTTAATTGCATTTGCTTTTGTTTCTTTTTTAAGGTTTTTGCAGCTTCAGTCAGTGTATTGACTTTACTTGCATTTCTTCACCCATTTGAAACTCCATTTTGAACTTGTTGGCTTCCTTTATTAGTGAATAAAGTTTCTTACCTCTTTCATGTTCTTTGATACAGATTACCATCCAATCTTCTGTAGTTTCCAGGTATCTATGATGGCCGATTGTTGTAGTTTTGTAAGACAGATGTCGTTGAACTGATCCTCTGCCTCCTTCGGATCTGGGCACATACAGACGATCACCGTCAGCCTTAGGATAATGCATGCGGTGACAAGTGAGAAGATTTCTCGTTTTGGCATCAATTTGCTTAATGTCAACTATGGCCCAGTTAAGAATGTTGAAACCAAAGGGACAGCCAAGGTGTTTATGGCGGATCTTCTTTTCTTTCTTTTTTTTTTTTTTTTTTTTTTTGTTTTGAATTCAGCTCGTTATTCACGGTGGAGTAATGGATAGCGGCTCGGAGTGAGGAATCGGAAAGCCGAGTTCGAATTCCAGTCGAATTCATTACATTCACTTACGAGCTAATACCCTTGGCAAAGGTATAAATCGTCTTCTTTAGCTATGGGTAAATAGACAGACCGGGTTCTATAGCCTTGGATGACAACTGGTCTACCGCAGAAAGAAATGGTAACCTACTACAAGAAAAAAAAACTGCCTCGTCAGTCATGTATCGAAAGATACATGATCACCTTAGTGTGTATCACGCATGACACATAAGTAACTGATTCAATAACACACACATGACTGTAGTGTTCTTTTCTTACTTTCTCCTATTATTATTATTATTATTATTTCTTCCTTTGATTTCAAGACTCAAGTTCTAAATTCAGAATTTTCCCTTGAAGGACTAGTGGATTATAGTGTTGATTTGTACATTTGGTGACAAAGTAATCCCTGGGTCGGGCAGTATAGGCTTAGACGGGGTGAAAACAGGACAAGCAAATAACTTATAAGTAGTTTATAAGAAGAAAGCAAGGTATTCATAGACGTTAAATACGGAATGGAAACAATCTACCCTCGTTGATTAAATGAAGAGTTCGAAATTCCCTGACTGTTACCCTGATCGATAGACACCAGGAGAAGATTGGAGAGCTGAACGGTCGATATGTTGTGATAATAACAACAAAAATGAGAACATTATCTGAAATTTAAATAAATATGGTTTTATTATTTCGTCCTAGTCGTTCTTTCAGGTTGAATTAGTTTTGGGATGTTCATTTGAATTTATGCGGGTGTGTGATTATTTGCTTGATTTGGTTGATTGATTTCGTTTAATGGCCAATCAACACCTCCATGTGTTGTTTAATACCAAAATCTAAATAGAACACAATTTTATGGCCTTATTTTGAATGCAATCGTATGTTTTCAATTACAGATAAAATGAATTATTGATCATCTTGCTTTAAAAATTTATTGTAGATCATTTTACCGACGCAATCTTTCGAATAGCACCAATCAGCATTGCAAAAGAAGAGCCAAATAGATTTATTAAGCACGAGACATTGAACTTTGTGCCTTTTGAATAAAGTAAGACTTATTTTGCTCTTATTAAGTGATGCGTAATCGTTTTTTTTTTTAAATCATTTTACTCCAAGCAAAACAATAAAGCTGTTAGGACGTAGAGGTTACTGAGTGTTAGAGAATATGAGGAAAACTACTATTAAGGGGAGAGGGCAATAAAAGAATAAGAATGAAGAAGACAGAAGATAACAATTGACATTGAATTTAATTTTTTGAAGATCAAAATTAACTGGAAAGCAAGAAGCCGTAAGTTCCACAAACGGTAGAAGAAACTGTTAACAGAATTTATGGTTACATCTAGCCATTTCAACTGTAAATTGATGAGACCTCGCCGCCAATCTAGTACTGCGTTTAAATTCATGACGTCTAGGTACCATAGAGGAAAGTTCACTAGAACAATTACCATGAAAGTATTTATAGAAAAGACACGGGAAAGCTACGTTACGGTGATGCGAAAGGGATTGAATTCGAGATGCCAGGTCAGGACCAATAACATTGCAGATTCTACTTTGGATTTTATCAAGAATGTCCAAATATATAACAGAAGCACCAGACCAGATGTGCCAGCAATATTCAAAGCAAGGACGAATGGTAGACTTTTATTAAATATATCTGGCGAGAATAATTGTCTAGATCGACATAGTGAAGCAACTTTCTTAGCTGCAGACTTAGCAATTGATTCAATATATTCTTTCCACTTCATGTGAGCTGAAAACGCTTTACTGATACTGCAATATTTTTATCACAACATAACATATATATGAATGAGTTACGGTCGTCATATATACAAGACGATATTTGGTCATATTTTTCTTCTACTGGTTTCATCATTCGTCCAGCATATTGGTATCCATTTCAAAAAGCTTTGATCGAGATTTACAAAGCCTACAAAGCAGAGTAAAAGTAAAGACATTTTGAATGCTCTGAATGGAGCACATCTCCTCACAGACGAAGAAGAGACATGAAGCAACAGAGATGTGGATCCTCAGACTGCCATAGACTGAACATGCGAGCAATGAAGAGGATTTAGAGAAAATGGAAACAAATATAACACTTATTCGTAACATCAGAAAGAGACAATTACAATCTCTAGGGTACATAATGAGGGAAGTAGGCTTGGAAAAGTTGATACTCACATGACAGATTGAACACGAGGAACAAAAGAAAACAACGTATAATCTACCGTGTGAGCGTGTGTAAATGAATAGCGGAACAGGTTTTCGGGTAGAGAACAAAAAAGACAATATTTATTAAGTGCGGCAAATGAACAAGAAGACGTAGAGAACTATGGATGTTTACAGACTGCAGGCACACAGCACATAGAAGAATTACAATCCTGAACTTTTCGATTGCCACTTTTTTTCCCACGTTTTCTTTATTATCACAAATGGATAGCAGAGCGTTGTTTCGATATATCATCCTCTGTAATCTAACAAAGTCGCCTATCGCCAGGTTCACACTTCTCCCCGATTTTTTGATCAGGAATTGAGGCTTATCTATTGTTTCCGTTTTAAGATTAGGTTTAATGTCTTTTCGTTCTCTTTTATTCCCAATAAACTCTTCCGTTATAGAGGCATTATCGCCTTGCTTGGAGTGAATTGATTAAAAATATGTGTGCAGTGTAACGGATAGATTTAGATCTTGAAACTGCAAATAGCATTGATAGTTTCCTTTTTTACAACAACTTTCATCCTGTTAAAGGTCAAAGAGCCACTTAAAGTAGAGAAAAATTGATGGTAAAACAATCAAATTGCACTTTTAATAGTGTTATTGGCAAAGATTTGTTGTTCGGTGGTGGAAAAAAATCAATTTTCTAGCGCCAGATCATTTTTTTCTGTCCGGAATGAAGTTAACAAAATGAAACGTTTTTTATCTGTCTATATTTCTGAGATGAGGTATTATATACACTATTTACATTATTCGGATTATTGTCCTCATCTTTGTTGCCATATTTATTACAATTTTTCGTCCTTGAGGACACATGGCACAGTGGATAAAGGCATTGGTTAGATCCAGTGACAGGACCCAAAGAGTGTGAGTTCAATACCCGGTTAAGGGCAGCGGAGAACTTAGAGAGGAGAATTAAGAGGAGATAACTGATAACTGACATCCATTAAAACATGACACGTGGAACTAGAACCGTCTAGCCCAGTGAGCGAAATAAAGGGTTCAGTTCGACATTTTAACCATCTGAAGAAGACCAGAGCGTACAACGGCCGAAATGATGGTATAAATATGGCGGCAAAGATGAGGATAATAGTCTGAATAATGTAAATAATGAAACGTTTTTTCCTGGGTAACTTGCTAAATAAATTCTACTCGTAACATTCTGAGTTTCATATCTGACTCGTTATATAAAAGTTGAAACAAACATTTAGATTTTGAAACTTGACTTGATTGTGGACGAGTCGAATGGAGAAAATTATACATAATCAATGTGAGTTTACTTAGAGATTTCGAAAGACAAGAACTTGTAAATGCAGAAACCAGTCGATTAATTTTATCATTTAATTAATTAATGAATCGGTACGATGTCCTGAAGTAATTATTACGTTTGCCCTCAAGGCGAGTTTGAAAATGCATTTCCTTATTCTATTATTCGGATTAATCCGGAGTAAATTTCTAACCTGTTTTCTGTGTCCACATGGGAAGAATATGAAATTTAATGATTACTATACTGATGACTCTACCTTAACTATGATTACCTGTAATGAAATCTTGCTGCATATATTCGTGTATGAGTCGAATTTTTAAGGGAACATTTCCACGAAAGAAGCGTATGGTGGGGCCTGTATAAGATAAGATATTTTTGTTTATATGAAACGTGGCCAGAGGTAAAAAAAGGAATAATAGGAGATATATAATATGGAAAAGCAAAAACAAAAAAACGATAACATTCCAGAAAACGAACTCCAACTACAATTCTTTCTTTCTTTCTTTCTTTCTTTCTATCTATCTATCTATCTATCTATCTATCTATCTATCTATCTAAACCTGTTTCCGTCTATGTCGAAAGAGAGAGAGAGAGAGGTGGGGAATGGATTTACAGTGTGTGAAAGGAGTTTGGCTATGTCCAGAAGGGTGCACGGCACGTAGAATATTTATTTATTGATTCATTCATTTTTTACGGATTATCAACCCTTTGCAGCTTATTTAAAAACAGAAATTATTTTTAGATTGATAAGATTTTTTTTTGGTGGGGAGGATAATGATAATTTAGTGATACAATTCTTACTAATTAACCAATAGCTAAGTAGAGTCATACACTTCCCAAGGATAATATTTGTGTAAGTGAATATAATGAGACCAATTGGAATTGAAACTCGACCTCCGATTAACAATTCCAAGCCATTATCCATTACACCACCCACATATCCAAGCCTACAACACCCGGTATTCCCAAGCGATCACCCATCTAAGTACTGAATAGACTCGACGTTGCTTAACTTCGGGGATCGTACAGGAACTGATGGTCTCAACCTGATAAAAGAAAATATTAAGAATAAAATCATTTCAGCCCAGACAAAAGGATCAATCCCCAAAGATGCTGGCGGGGGGGGGTCACTGAAAACGAAGGAAATGTTACACAGGCGAAAGGACAATGCCAAGAATAGGATTCAAGGAGATAAAAGATGCATTTAAATTTTTGAAGGTCATAGTTGACAGGAAAAGAGATGCACAGGCAAAAAAAGCGAGAGAAGAAACTATTAGAATAGAACATACGGTTGCACTTTAAAATTCCAACAGTAAAACAATAAAACTAAGCCGCCAATCTTATACGTTTAAATTCATGAAGTCGAGTTATGAGAGATGAAACCTATTCAAAACGGTTGGTGCTCATATCTTTTTAAATATCACGGAACAGGTAGTAGCCAGTTTCACGGTTCCAGCTGGTCTTTGGTCACGTGATCTAAGCGATTGTCCAAATACCATGATCAGTGTTTTTATGGCATTTTTAAACGAGGATGGGTTGTTATATTCTTTTTTCTATAACGACGTAGTACACTGTTTTAAGTTTTAATTGACTTCCATGATCCTGCTTTGGTCTTTCGTGGCATTTTTAGAACAAGGTTTGTTGCTTGTCAATACTTATTTTCTCTACCAGTAATACGTAGAAATATACTCAACTATGCTGTACCATATAGGAGCTAAGGATCCCTGACCTGATTGCCCTCATCATTAATAGAGTATAACTTGCCCTTTTGCTCGTAAACATTCTGCTATAATACCAACTCTTCTGAACATACTATTCCTTAAGCACCCGTGCATCTGGATTTCCAGTTCCGAAGATATATCTGATTCCGACATCATTAATTGTAAAAATAATGATTATCCGATCTTTCGAAGAAGCCAGCAAGAGAATCCAGTGAAGAGGCTTACGCTAACATTTTCAGGCTGAGCATCGCAGGCAAAGAGAAACGGTTGATGTTTCTAACAACGTAAAATGCCTTATTGCTTCATTTGGGAATAAACTTTCATTTTTCGTTTATTTTTTTAGTTTAAAATTGTTCTCCGATAGGGGAAAAAAAGAAATTGAAAAGAGAACGATATATACATTGACTACATTTTCCCAGCCCACGCGCCTGGATCAAACGATTGAATAGGAAAATCTGTATACGTTTCGCCTTCCATATTTAAATAAGGTCTGACGGTGACACTCTGATTATATGTTAACTCAATCAACTTTTCCCCTTAAAAAGAAAGAAACAAGGCAAAAAGCAAAACAATTTATGACAATGTCAAAAACATATACATTAAGAAAATGCGCGCGCGCACACACAATCATATTTAAATAAATGTGCTTATAAAAGCATGTGTTTACATACAACGTATGCACATACTCTGGCACATATATATATATATATATATATATATATATATATATATATATATATATATATATATATATATATATATATATATATATATATATATATATATATATATATATATATATATATATATATATATATATGGGTTGTTGAATAATTATTAGTCGCTTTTGTAGGTGACTTATTTAATAGAAATTGCTGTTTTGTTTACATTTTTTTAATAAAATATTATTTTATTTTCAGGTTATAAAAGTGCGTGTCAATAATCAGATTCATTTAAAAATGTTATTGTTGAATTATTATGTTTCTTTCTGCGTAACAAATATTGTTTAAAAACGCCTGATAATTATGCACCGACCCAATATATATATTCCAGTCGAATCCATTGCATTCACTTACGTGCTAATAGGCTTGGGAAAGGTATGAATCCTCTTCTTCTCCCCCCAGCTATGGGTAAATATCAGGAGAGACTGGTTTCCATAGCCTTGGGTGGCAACTTGACTAGGCGAATGACAACTCTAAATTCAAAACCTGTGGAGGATCATTTGGGTACCTTGAGGCATACGGTACACCAGGTGTCTGTATTCGTCTGTTCCAAAAAGTGTTGTTAGTTCTTCACAAAGCTTTCCCCAATAGAATCAAATCATATGTGCAGTGGTCTGGCTGTCGCTTCCAAGGAACTGAGCTGCTTGATACTCATACGTCGAAAAACGACGGGAGAGCATAGTATATACATACATACATATATATATGTATGTATGTGTGTGTGTATTTATTTATTTATATATATATATATATATATATATATATATATATATATATACTCACCATTAAATAATCAACATTGTAACAATTAAAAGTGTATATATAAAAGAAAAAAAAAAACGAGAAATATAAACAGTCAATTGCTGACGAGTGGACAGGGTGACTGCTGGAGCGTCCGTCTACGAAAATCTGAAGTCGGGATGCTGAAGGTAACACCAATAAGCTAAGTGACAAACTTTATATTCGTATTAATTATATATATATTAATATTACTATTATTAATATTATATATATATATATATATATATATATATATATATATATATATATATATGTTTTGAACAATAAAAAATTATTAAAAAATTAAAATTTTCAGACACATTTGGTTGTATATTAATATTTTTTGTTTCATTATTTCAATTAGTTTCCTCGTTAAGTTTCGACCAGCATGGTCATCATCAGGAGATAAAAAAAATTCCTGCTTGTTAGTAGCAATGAACTACAGGAATGAATGACTTTCTGAAGAAAATGAACTTTATCAATAGTTTCCATTTGTTTTTTATCGTTAATTTTGGTCAGTCCTTGTGTTGGTCAAACTCTTAAGTAGATTTTAAGATAGAATTCCCTTCTTGGTTATTTTGCCAGTTTTATTGGTTGCTGGGAAGGGGATGTGTGTGTATTAAGTGATTGTTATCTTTTAGTTCTTCGGGAGTGTGTATGATGTGCTTAAGTGTATATATTAGTATGGGTGTGTAAGTATGAGATCTCAACACCTCCGTAACCGTGTCTGTCTTGTGCGAATGTTAAATGTGGGTAGGGCTTGATTTATAGGGTTATATATTAATTCTATCTATGTTGTTAAATTTGTAGTTAAGCCCGTCTGGACGAAGTGTTTTGAGACGCAAAATTCATTTGTTTTCATGTTCCTTTAGAATTTTTCTGTGATCTTTTCTGTCTATTTCTTCTTTTTTTTTCAATTATAGTGAATTTGGCATGGTTTTTAAAATCATGTTTTTCCTAGGCGGAAATATTGTTCTACAGGTAATAATCTTTCGTGGGGAGCTGACTCGATCCGATTACGATAATTATTAATTCTGTAGGGAAAGGGTCATTCAGATTTCCCCACATATTGTTTCTGACATAGTGTGTATTCTAATAGGTAAATTATGTTATGACGTCTACAGTTAGAGTCGTGGTAGATTTTGTGACTGAGCTAGTGAACGAATTGGGGTGTCTAATGTTTTACAACATAAGCTCCTTATGGTGTTAAATTGGTTGGAAAAATCCTGTTGTTTTTATTTTTGATCTATTACGGATTACCTTATCATCTGATATTTGGTTACTACCTATAATTTCCTTAAGATTCTTAGGTCTACGATATGCTAGAAGGTTGGGTTCCTCAAACAAAATTTTTAGGACTGGTTTGAGATGTATTTCCCACCGACTTTTGATTATATGAGTTAGTGGAGCAAGAGTTGTGTTGAAAATGGTTACCAGAGGGACGCGTCTGGATTTATTTTAATTTTATTCATTAGGGTGTCTTCTCGAGTTGTGGAAATTGATTTATTTGTTCCCTGATTAGGTGTTGTTTATAGCCACGTGTTGTGAATTGATGTGTTTATTTAGTTCTTCATTATTGGAACATGTCCTTCTGAGTCTAAGTGCTTGTGAATAGAGTAGGTCCTCCTTGAGGTGTTTAGGGTGGAAAGACTTAAAGTGTTTGTGATTTTAGTGTTCAGTGTTGTTTGTAGTTTTCTGTTTTTATCGATGAAAAAGTGGGGGTCTACAAATCTTACCGATCTTGTTTTTTCTTGGTCGAAATTAATCGAGTCGTGTACTGTGTTTAGGGTCATAAGGAATTCAGTGAGTTTCTGTTCCCTTCCCGTGTGTATGAAGATATCGATATATCTTGCATAGAATATTCAATCGCTACCGATGAAGGGATAAATATGGATCTCCTCAAATTTTTCCCATGAAGATTGCGGCATGTGATAGAGCTACAACGGTGACCATGGCACATCCTCTTACGTGCAGGTAGTGTTTTCCATTGAAATTGAAAGTATTAAATGTAAGAATATGTTCAATGAGTTTATGATAACTTCTGTGTGGAGGGGGTTTCGTTTTCTTCTTTTAGTAAGTGCTTCTTTAAGGGCAGTTAGTCTTTCGGTGTGTTTGAATAAAGTGATCTTACGTCTTATGTTCGTGTTTTGTGAGGTGAATGTAGAGTCCTTTTCTTTTAATGTTTCGAGTATGGAAGGTGTGTGGTTATTGTCTCCGTCGTGGGCTTTTAACCGTATTCTTCTAAAGAAGGATTTCAGGTCCTTTGCCATGGTGTCCTTATCAAACCTTGGGGAACTAGGGCAAAAGCTTAGTGTGTATTTTAAGTTTAATTTGTATGATTGAATTTAAATTGAAGTTTCGGATTTTGAAACATGGGAATTTCGGTGTTACGATGATTGCGATCATTGTATTGAGCACTTTTTTAAAATAAAAATAAATGCTAAGAATTCTGAATTATAAATCTCGTTATTTTTAATATATATGTGCGTGTGTGTGTTTCTATGTATGTGTGTGTGTGCATATATATATATATATATATATATATATATATATATATATATACATACATCTCTTAAATCAAAGATATGAACTTACAGTAAATTGTAAACACCGTTATAAATTTAACTTAGTGTAGGGGTCGTATACTTTAAATGATAATGATATGTCGCTGTATTTTTAATAGATTAGTATTTTTATTGCATGATGGTCATACTTACGATATAAGTGTGTATTGCTTACCTACATAGTATTATTAGTGTTGGTGTAAATGTGTATATATTCATTTATGTGTTGGTTAGAGTATTTGCACTGTGGAATGTGTAGGTTGGT